TTGTGGTCAACTGAGTAACCAAATCAATGCGGATGCAACGCCTAAACGACAAGAAAGGTCTGCAGACACACTTAAAATTTGTCTCTGTGGGCATGGGGCCTGAAATTACAATATCACATGTGAAAAGGGAGTTAAATACCTGCTTAAATACTTTCAAATAAACAAATTACTCATGCAACAAGTTTGGTTTGACAATGAATAACTATTAATAAGAAGCAAGGGAAATTATCAATGAGGTTGTTGATAGAACTGGGCAATTAATCAAATTTGCTGTTTATAAAGATTAAATTTATGAAAAATCAGGATGTTTTTCACCAAAGCAGTCTTTCGGCTTAGAGTGAGGTCAGCCCACCCAGGGCCTGCCATTTTGTTTTACAAGCATCTTTTACAGCTTGTATTTAGTTAAACTTTGAATTCAGGTCAACTCCCAGGAGGGATGATTAAGGTTTTGAAAATATGTTCTAATTTCTAATTTCTTTTTAAAAGAGATAGGAAGTTGATTAAAATTGGAAATCGGATTGGGTATGAGATTCTATTTTTAAGTCATATTGTCAACTGTTTTTTTTTTTTTTTTTTTTTTTTTTTTACTAATACCTGTTTATGAGGCTTAGCATTATAGAGCAAAAGATGAAGCAGTGAATTCATCCCCTGTTGTTTAATTTTAAGCCAACACAACTTTTAAATTGCATTTTCGAGATTAGTGCGTGTAAATGTACATCAGTACATTCAATCTTAACCAACATAAGTAGGTGCAAATCTTGGGGAAACTTAAGCTTCATTTCCTCTGGTTCAGTGGAAACTGTTTAAGCTTGTGTAGTTTTTAAGACTTCTTTTTTTCGCATGACTTTAAGATTAAGCTGCATTTAGGTCATACAATTATTAGAAAAACAGCTGTGTTGAAATCAAAATTCCCTTGAACAATAAATAATGAGTGGGATGGCTTTGGGTTTTTTACTGTGAACCTTGCACTTCATTCTATTTTAACTTGTGACATTTTGTTGAATTAAGGGGTTTTGAAGTCATTTTATAGTTTTTTTTTTGGGGGGGGGGAGAAAAAGCATGTCAAACCTCAAAGCAGTGCCGACTCACAACATGCCACAAGTATCATCAATTATTTTCTGCAGTGAAGCATACCAGAATATGGAAAATATTAATGTTAGTCATAACTTTACAATGTTCAAGGACAATAAAACTGTGGAATTTACTGGAAAATGCGGGGGAAAAAAAATCCAGTTGAAAATATGTTTCTTCAAACTAAAGGTCATCATAAAAAACTTAACATCTTCATTTTGTTTTGTAGTGATGTATTCATGCATGATTAAAGTTATTCCTCAATATGTTTATGTGCAATATGAACTTCTCACACTTGTGTCTTAATTTCTGTAGCTCCAGTACACAAGCCCAGCATGCTAAATATTTAATAAACTAACAATAGACTCTAAATAAATAATCATAGATGATTGGTTATTGCTTTGGTCTGAGCAAAGCAAACTCGCAGACCACTGAATTTTTCTGTAGGTATTCTACAGAGATGTTAATAAAGAGAAATATTGTGTACTGTAAAAAATCAGCCCAAAAAGCTGTATTTTAAAGTGTTTTTTTTTTTCTTCTAAATATTATTAGCTCATTGCCTCGATGATAATCATTAGCTGTTCTGCATGAATAAAGAAGTGCCAGATAGCTCTGCAGGTTTTTCGCCTCGTTTTTGTGGTTTACTGTGTGTGCACAGAGAAAAATACGCCCATCCGTTAGATTAAAACACCTACATGCATCTTGTTGGATGATTTGACTTGCCTTGCTTATGACCATTTTTATTCCAGTGAACATTTACATTCATGTCAACCTATTGTAGTCTGTTGGTATATGATAGTAGTAGAATAATTTGGTCACAGCTTCTTATATTTCATTTTGTCTTTGGTTTCTAGTGTTGTTCTTTTACTTCAGAGTCTCAATTTTCTAATCTTTAACATCTGTTTCCCAACTGTTCATTTACTTATCAGTGCAGCATCCAGACCGATCTGTAAAACTGGGCTGATGTTAGAACTGGGAAGGAGGTTGGTGTTTGTTTGTTTTGACAGTGACAATCACTCAGGATTGTCACTGTTTAACTGAAACAGAGAAAAAGTGGTGATGTCAGCAGGGTGGTAATTTTTTTTTCTCAGAATATCAAAGGGTTATGACATAGGTGATATTGCTGTCATCCATAATAGCAATATCTATGTCAGTTACTAGCCCAAATATTCATATTGTAGTCCACACCATGATGTTCCCAGTTTATTCCTAATAAGTTCTGTTAATAAAAGTACTCTTTTTTTTTCCTTATGTTCCTGCATCTCTACGTTTGGGTCCTCAACAACACCTAAACATTAAGAGGTGTCTCTTTTTTTCCATCCCTGTTTAACTTAGCTACCCCTTTGTACTGCTGTGAAATATGTGAAAGTAGAAATGGAAAGGAAGTGCGAGATCTTTGTCTACCAGTAATGGGAGGCAGAATTTTCAATTTTAAAGCCTTCTTGCATCATGTTGTCTTCATGTTTTTATTTAGAGCGTTTTGGAAGGTTCCCAGTAAAATCTAGGGCAAGTGAAGAAATGAAGATTTTACATCTTAATGATCAAGTTTTCTTTTTAAGCTGACATTAATACGTTGTACTCATAATAGTTTATTTAAGTGCAGCTAAGTTCTACATATCTTTCTCAAATTGCTGTACCTGCCCAGAACATGGAAATATAATTTTAATGGTCAGTTACTTCAGTGCAGAGGTGAAATATTCTGAAAAATTCACATCAGTAACATCACAATTTGCCTTTTTTTTCTGTTTCAAAGATAAATGGCTAGTTGTTTGAACTTTAAAAAACTCAAATGATTTTTTTCTCTCAATTTTAAAAAGATATTTTATATGAAATTTCTTGTCAGACTCAAAATTACCTCACCCTGTCTTTAAAATTACCTCAGAGTCTTTTGTGAAGACTTTCAGAAAAATCAATAGTTTTACTTTCATTTGATTTAATTTAATCAGTTTGCCCCACCATTTTAAGGATGCTTATTGGTCCCTCAAAAAACACTAAAAACCCGGGTACTGTCATGACTCAATAAAATCCTTCTATGCCAAACTTGAAAACTGGACCTTATGCTGCTAACACTTAGCTTTCATCAACAACTTAGACGGAAGTGAGAGCTCTGCGTAACACAAGTAACCCGGCTGGAACATGGTGCATTAAATAATAAAATATAACGTAATGAAGCTTCGAGGCAGATAAATTTTCCTCGAGGAATTTTAATAACCTAAGTACTTCAGTCACTCGAGGAATTGTTTCAGCTCTTCATAATTGTAATGTGGAAGGAAAGAGCAACATGATATTCACCACTGAAGTAGGTCCATTTACTTCAACAACTGCAAATAAAATCTTATGTAGCCAATTGACTTCAGAGCTCACCTACTTAGTAGACATAACTAATTTATGAAGGCCTCCACTGTTTCCTAGAGAACAACAAAGCAACTTTTTTTAAATAGATGTTGACAGATGCGTTCTGACTGGGCTTGAGCTATTTTGGCAAAATATAATCTTGCAGGGACATACCTTTAAAAGATTTTGTACATAGTATTAATTTGGCTTTTTTTAATTTTCCAAAAGTTGGGTTGTTTAGGTGGAAATCTGACAAAGTCTTAACCCTAAGGAAAACAACCAGTTTTGATGTTTCCACCGCTTTTTTTAACTGCATGTGCAGATCTACCATATGATTCAAAAAAGAGCAATGTTTGGTTTTAGTATTACCCATTTTAGGTCATGTGTCTTATTCAGAGAGAGGTGCTTTTGGGGTTTAAAGAGACTTGTTGCTGTATTGGTGTGCTATTATTAGAAGACAGATTTTCCTTCCCTCCATAACATCATTCATTTTGGCATACTTCTGTTTTGGTTGGTTGCATTTGAGCTCATTCTTTTAACAAGGCCTTTTATAGCCACGTGGTAAGCTGTGTAATTTAGATATTTCTCAAATTGCAGTGATTTGAGCACCACAGGGGTGTAGGATTTAAGCCATTAAAGATGACTTCCTAAGCAACACTGAACACTACCACAGTAAACATCTCCATCAGTGTCTGGTTTGTGTGTACATGACGACACAATTTTAACTCTTAAATGGTCTACGCTAGCATGCTAGGATATCCCAAAGCATTAAGGGTGCCCAGATTGTTGCAAAGAATTAGGTATACCCAAATGCCTTCTTTCTTTACAAGTTTTACAAATTATGTTAACAAGATAACTTAAATCTTTACTTTGAGGTAGTTAACACTGAGAGGATTAGTGGAATATTCCAAGATTGAGGCAGTAGTTTATATTTTGAAATTCTGCAAATGTTCATATGTAGTAAATTACTCTGAAGACTATCAGTTTTTTTTATAACAGTTTCTAAACGTTTTATTAAAACAGCTTGTATTTTTCAATCAATGAGCATGAGTGAAAAAAAAAAAACAAGGCAATTCAGTGTTTTCATCAGATGTTGTTAAAGGCCACATTAGAGATGGCTTTAATAAAGAGAAATGTTTCTGAATGGAAACCAAACAGAATTAATGTTTTGTGCTTTTTGTATTTACAAACAAGCTTAAACATTTTCAGAAATTATATTCAGCTATTGATTAGATGCTTCTTTTCACATTAAAAATATTAAAAGGCGCAATTTTTTATAGCACAATGTTATAATGCTTGACATCAACGGCACTAGTTGTAGGTTCCTCTCAAGCACTAATTAGATTCTTTGTTATCTCAAAACGCAGTCCTGTGTTTTCATGACGATGCAAAAATGGGTCTCATGTTAAACATTTTTTAAAAAGCAAGCTGCTGATAATCTTTGGTGGCTTGTTCTTAGATAATAGACACAAATATTCATTTCCAAACACCATTGTATAATGCAAGAATGGAGTAAAGATTTGAGGCCATATAGCTTCAAATTAAGTTACCAGGATGTATTTTTATATTGACTATTGTTTTTACTCCTTGTACAGAAGCACAGGCTCAGAGGAGGAGGAGTCATGAGTGCACCGGAGGCACCTAATCCTGGGAAGGAGCAGGCTGAAAGTGGAAATGGGAATGCAGCCACGGATCCCTCCACAGCCACGAGTAGTACACCACCGACGGTGGCTGTGAAGAAAGAGCCTGGAATCTCAGAGAAGAGCAATGGGAAAGTTGGAGATGCCAACCCTGCTGAGATCTGTGTCGTTATTGGAGGAAAAGATGGAGGATCAAGCGGAGGTGGAACCCGTAGAGCTCAAACCGAGGGTATGTTTGCCCTTGGTACTCCTCCTCCAACGAAGAGCACTGACTCATGCATAGGTGTGTGATTATACTGATATATCATTGCATTTGCTTGAAGTTTAAATAGCTACATCTATTTTTATGTCAAATCTATTGCCAGTTTATGAAAACAATATTCCTGCAGTGAAAAAAATCTACATTCAACTGACTATTCTTGGATTTATTTCTTAAAAAGATGGACTGTTTGAAGGATTATTGACATCCAGTTGATGCTCTGTTCAGTCATTTTATATTGTAATCAAAATGTAGTTATGCCAACTTGTTGGGATAGCAATTAAATATCAAAGATGGGTATTGCAAAATTGGCTTGAATAACAGGGAAATAATTGTTTTTCTAAAAGTTTCTTTTAGGGGTGGAGAAGATATTTTGTTTTGCACATCATTCTTTCACACATCTGCTAAGTTTAAATTATGTTAATTTCCACTATTTTATACTATTGAGATAGCATTCAGATGATTCAAAAATCATGTCAGTGTCATGCATGTATACAAGTGCAGCTGTATATAAGGTTGATTCATTATGTAAATTTGGTTAAAGCTCACGGTCTAACTCAACAGCATTTACATAAATCATTATTCTGGGTAAACTAGAGCAAATAAAAAATTAATTGGAATCAGCAGCTTTTAAAAACCGGCCTGCGCCGGTTCTTTCTGGCTAGGATTAATAATAAACAGGAATTTAATTATAGATGTTGACACAAACAGTTTGTCCAAAATTTTACAGTACTCCTAAATTCAAGTGTTTTATATTCGTAATTTGCAGATTCATATCTTTACATAAGTAAATTCACAAAAATATACACTCGCCCTTCCAAATCATTGAATTCAAGTGTTCAATTTTATGCACCCGTGTGAGGCCACAGGTATTTAAAATTCAGCACTTAGGCTTGCAAAGCTGCTTCTACAACATCTGCTTGTGACTATCTAAGCAAGGATCTTTTATATAGAACCAGTTCAGAACCCACATTTTTAATAAACCCTTACTCTCGCATTAAAGATGCACTGATGAGAGAATTTGACCTGCCAGTAGCTGAGTCAAGAATTTGTTGCTCTCTGGATCTCATTGAATTTCACTGTGGTACCATAGGATGCCACCTGTACAACTATTTCCTTCATATTAAAGATTCCACAGTCAACTATTCAAGGTGCTATAATCAAGCGAAAGTAATTGTGAATGAAAGCAACAAATCCACGAAATTGTAGACTACGTAAAATATTCTACCAGATCCGGGAGATGAGTTGTGAAGTGCAATCACTACACCTCCAAGCTTCATGTAGTCTCCAAGAGTTTAGTGCACATCAGTGCACAAAGTACGGTTCTTAAAGAAATGGATGAGTGAGTTTGGAATAGAAGAACTGCACAGTGGCTGCACAGAGCCCTAACCTCAAACTGAGCAAACACATTTTGGATAAATAAGAGTGAACACTGCTACCCAGGCTTTTACATCCAACATCAATGTCTTCCCTCACAACATGCTTCTGAAAGAATGGTAAAAAAAAAAAAAAAAAATTCAAATGAATGTGCTCCTAAGTCCTGAGCAAACATTTCCTCGAAATGTTGAAGTTTTCATGGCTTCAAAGGATGGGCTGACATCATGTTAATATATAATACAAATGTGATATCACTAAAGTTAATATGTGAGTGAAGGCAGACGGGCAAATACTTTTGGCAATAAAAAGTATATAAGGACTTGGAAATGGAAGCTGACTTTATGTGATTAGTGCTGCAGTTTGAGTTTATTCTTCCTTCATTGTTAAAGTGTCAAAGTTTTTCTACCAAGCAATCCCAATTCTAAAGCAGTGCTCCAATTCTGTGATCAAACATTAACTGGAACAAATATTTAAAAATAACACGGTGATGTAAAACAGTGCTGATTCTCTGGTTGTGAATATCCAAGCAAGGATCTTTTTCATGGAACCAGTTTAGAACCCACAGTTTCTATAAATCCTTACTATAGCACTAAAGATGCACTGATGAGAGAATTTGACCTGCCAATAGTTATTTAGCTGAGTCAAATTTATCTGTAAAGTGTACTTCCAGCATTTAAAATACTTCTTTCTGGCCTTCTTGCCATGAGTGGTCATTAATTATTTATCTTAGGAGTCACACGATGTGTGAGAGAGCAGTCTCTGTAAAGAGAAGTTTGATTAATTTCAAACAAAGACAAATGATTTGGAGTCGACATTTTAAACTCTTCCATCTTATACCAGCAATTATAATGATTAGGGCAATTAGTATCAGTAACTGTTAACATCAGTCGTGTGTATTTCTGAAGGAATGTTGATGCTTGTCTTAACTTTGAGATCTAAACTCAACATGATCCATAAGAAAGTGAGCTGGAAAGCAAAATGAAAACAAATCATTTTAGCTGCAATACATTTAGCCTTCATAGCATAAGTTGGCTTTGGGAACATTATTCTATTTTTATCAACTGTAGGAAATGTCACCAAGAGGCATGTGACTTGGATGTTTTATGAAAGCTTCTTTTTGCACCTGAAACATTCAGAAAATAAACTACTAAATAGTGAGAATGACAGTCAAAGTTTAACACTTGATTTTTAACATCCTAAAAATCAAGTGTGCAGTTCTACCAGGGGTATGCTTGTTGTCTGGAGGAGCTAGTCTGGTTGAAACTGTGGTGGAGAGATGCTTTGTAATGCATAAGGTCTGAAGCTTGGAAACCGCAGCTCCATCGAGAAGCTTCGTCCTCGAAGGCGATGCTAAGTTCACCCAGGCACTTTGGACAGCTTCCGCAGGAGATTAAAATATTTCTCAAACATGCACGACAGAATCAAGGCAACAAGCTGGTATGTTTTTGATGAGGGAATAGCATACATAACATGTGGTAAAACTCCAAAAAGTTGATTTTACATAATGCTGCCCCTTTAACACCTCATTGACACAGAGTACAGGAAACTTTAAGATTTCTTCCCACAACAACAGCTGCACAGAAAAGTGTTGTTGTCAGCAACATCAGATAGCGGTATGGTATCAAGTTTTAATTGATCGGAAGACAATTTGACTTTGAATTTAAAAACAGCTGATCATAAGTGAAAGCTGGTCAAGAAGAAAATCATCTCAGGCACCAACTGATACTTTGGTGCATGTCATAATCATATTTTGGCACTGGAACTACTTTGGTGGAAAAGAAACTAGTACTGTGTCAAGTTTTACTGGTACACAACATTATGAGAACAGTTCTCATATTTACATACTGAAATTGTGCAAGATATGATCTTAGTATCATTATAACAACAATAAACTAGTTTCACTTGAATAACTTTCAGAAGTTAATCCCAACTTGAACCTTATGGTAAAAAGTTTCGCTGTAATAAATTAATTGCTACTTATAAAATGGTACTAAAACTTACTTTTGACATGTCTGTGCAGGTTCGTATGTATGCGCAGTGTGTGGGAAGAAGTACAAGTACTACAACTGCTTTCAGACACACGTCAGAGCACATAGAGGTAAGATAATTGATTTTTTTATATATATAAACTTCTTTCCTTAGAGTTTAGGATTGCAAAATGTAAATGAAATACTGGCAGTAAGACTGCACAATATATTGAATTGCATTTGGTTTTGCAATATCAGGGTTTTCAAAAGACTTGCTTGAAAGGTTATTGAATACTTTCATGCTCCTCATATTAATAATATTTTTTGCCAGTTTTGTTGTCAATTGTACAATCTTCCAGGAGGAGTTAATGCTGCAAGTCAGGTCTTCAAATTGCATTAATTTTAAATGTATGTAGCTGACTTGGAATCTTCTTATTATTGCATTGGATTGAATAGATATTTTTATTCTTTTTAGAAAGTGTATTGAGATGGAATTGTTGCTGCTCGATTTGCCCACATGGGATTTACAAAGCGGTGGCTGCATCTTAATGACAGAAGTGGAAGAAAGGGCCCCCTAAAATCTGTTTTTATTAACTTGCAAATTCCTCCTTTTATTCTACAAAATTACACTTTTTCAATTATTATTGCTTTGAATTCCATCTTTTTCATTCTAGCCATATTTATTAACCCATAAACTGTGTAATTGTAGAGTGAATGAAAAATAATTCAGCAAATCAATAGCTAAATAATTCCAAGATTAAAGTTATTAAACCTTCACAAATATCACAACATTCTGTGGATCAACAAATTAGTGATTGTTTTTAAAGGTGATCATTAATATCACCCTAATTTTCTTTTGTTTGTGTTTTTTAAGGTCTTATTAGCTCTACTGGCCTTAATTTGATAGTGAATTGAGAGTAAAGTGGGTGATGAGAGAAAGAGGAAGATGTGGGGTTATGGTCTCCAGGCCTCGAGTCGAACCTGCGACAGCCGTGTCGAAAACTGAGGCCTTCATATGTGGCTTGTGCTTGACCCCTTCACCATCACAGAAATCCCACCCTCATTTTTTTCAAAGAACAGATCAAAGAACCTCTCATATCTTTCATTAGAAAACGAGTCTTTATGTTTAATGCTTTAGAGTTGATCTCACCTATCAGCAGCTGAAAATATTTCTTGAAACACTAAACTTACAAACAGCAAAACTTTGTGAACATTTGCATATCAAAAATGATCTGTCTTCATTTGTTTTTCTTCCATCTGTCACAGACTTCACCACTGAAATGTATCATCTTTCAGTTTGTGTTAATCTGAGTTATGACTTGAGTTTTACATTTTTTGGAACAAGTTTCAGAGAGCCTTTTCGCCATGGCTGACATTTTTTTTCTTCCATTTTTTTGTGTCTGTATGGAAAGAAAAGTTAATCTCCTGCCTAACCAAGTAGTGATGGGCACAGGGAGCTACAGGGGCCAAAATACTTCAGAAACTTTTATCTTTCAACACTTGCTGACATGTGTAAATTCTGCCATATTTTCTGTTTGTGTAGACGGGTTAATACAAACTGATTAGGTCAAGTCAGGATTAAATACAAACATGTTGATCACTGATCATCAGAAACAATATTCCTTATCGGTCAGGTTCCAGCATTCTCAGTTAACATTCGAAAGGTCAACTTTACAGGATGAAGCTTTGTCATCTGCCTTTTATTTTCAAATCAAATTGAATTTGCTACTAAAACAACTGGCTGGACATCCTCCAGACTGTTATGGAGGATGCAATTTTTATTATTTTATTTGTATTCATTCTTTATTTTTTGATGTCAGTTGTTACTGTTTTGTAAATGTTTCCTAGTTCTTGGTTGTCAAAGGATTTCAACTGCTCAGCATTTTGAGCTCTCCTTTGTTTTGTCTTTTGTGTCATAATGATTTCAGTGAATGACAGGTCTGGTGTGCTCAGAGGTCAGTATAGGACCTAGCTTATTCTGAAAAATAATGCAATATAATGCAATTCACACATTAAATACCACTACAGGAAGTTATTATGATTTGCATCAAGTCCAACCAAAACTAAAAGGCAGCACCTTTAAACATTGACGCCCTGAAAGGAAAAGCAAGTCAGTTCGGATTCATATCACATTTCTCTTTGTGGGCCCATTAAAAAGAAAATAATACAATTTTCAAGGAGAAAAAGCTTCAACTTTGCTTGGACTTAAAGAATTGCATGCATGTTCGGGCATGAGAAGCCTTCTTTTTGGCTAAAACACAAAGGAGCATAAAATACAAGGCAACAGGGGGGTATTATAAGCCCGGATAAGAAAATCAATAGACTTCTATATTTCCACATAGCGAGTAGTTGCTGTAGGTGACGTGAAAACACCCTTTCATGGATCTTTAAATGAGTGCAAGAACAGAGGATTCTGTGGTAGTCTGGCTTGTATTTATTTCTTTTCTTTTTTGTTTTAGCAAAACCTTAAACATAGATATATTTTCACAGAATAGTCAGTGCGATATTTTACCCAACCTGGCTGTCTTTTTTGATTGTGTCTTTTTCTTTGTTGTTATCAAGCCTCTGATTCCAAATTGCCAACATGCTTTGTGAAAGCACACACTCAGATTATAGTACGCAGACTCTGTTTGGTCAGTGTGAACAAAAAAAGGTACAAAGGAACAAAACAATAGTAATTTTTGCCAGAGTTTGCTCATATGCTTCATTGTCTTGAAATAATAATTTGGTGCAAACAGAGCTGGATCTTTAAGTACATGTTGGCATTAATCTATTCAAGCGAGTCCAAACCTATTTTTTCTTCATTATAGAATCAGAGAGCATGGTTGGAGATGGTCTGCCTCAGACACCCAATAGTAAGTACACCTTTGCCAATTATCCATTAAACAAACTTTATTTGCATGACAGCAGATTTGATGTAGTTTTTAAAACAGATACATGAATGTAGATTATTGCACACATAATAGGAATATTGTGGAAACAAAATGCAAGTAATTGAGGTAATCTTTTACAGTGTGCAATTAAAAAATGGGTTTTACTGAGAAAAGTTTGAAGTCCAAAATGATGAATACAGTCATATAGGACCAGTTTTTACCCGGCGCCTTAACATCACTTTCAAAGTTTGATTAGGACTAAAAATACTTGTGCCTCAGAGTAGTACTTGCGAGTTATTTATACACCTACCTACACATGCTCACTGTGCTTTTTATGTGAATATGCAACCGAGAGACTTCAGTACATGTACAATGCATAGTGAAAGAAAACAAAGTAAAGAGCAGTTAATGGAGATAGAATGAGAACGTTCAGATGGTGTATGAAGAGGTGCTGAATGTCATAATGCTGTTTGTGATATTTAGATTTTATAATATTTCGGCCACTGAAACTGGACGGGAAAAAAACAACTTTGAGATTAAATTCTTAGGAGGAAGAACATACTTTTTATGATTAATCAAATAATCAGATAAAAAGGATTGTTAAAATAAAATATTGTTAAATCTAGCATAACACCAATGTTGTTATTGTAAAACAACATCAGTCCAATTTTTTATGGAAAAAAAAATCTCTTTCATTGATCAGACTTGTGAAACATCTGGACCCAGTTTTATTAAGCAAACAAAACAGTGTCTTTTTTGAAATTATAGATGAGTGGGTGAGGTGCTATAACTGTACTGATCAAGAAACAAATACTAATTTGAATAATACTGTCTAAAGCAGTTTAAGAAGCAAAGCAAATTTAATCATAACTCAGTTCATTCGGTAATAATTTAAAACTAATTGCCTTTTGTTTTTTGAACCTGATCGTCTAATTATTTGTATTTCTGTCAGCCTCTGCTGTAAATTTCATTGTGACTTCATTGTAAAGACTTCTCAAAGTCTTTGCAAGCTAATACACATCTTGAGCCACAGACTGCAGCTGCTAACTATCCACTCCTGCATGTGAAATCAGCATTGGCTGCAATTTATTTCACCACTATTGCAAACTCTCTTGTTTTATCTATTGTGTATGTAATAGGTTATAAAATCATTTTACAACCAGATAAAGACTAAAATATTTAGATAGAAAGTGTACTTCCAAGATGACTATGCAAATGTCTGTATGTTAATGTGTAAACACAAATATCAAAAAAATTCCACTCCTTTATAAAAAATAAGAAAAAATATCACTATGATTTTGTTTAGAAAACTGTCCTCAAGTCTTGCCCTCAAGCTGAAACTCATATGAATATGTAACAGACCCCAGATTTGTTTGCTCATACCAGAAAGTAAATATTGACAATCTTTTTTTTTTTTTTTTTTTTTTGTAAAATATCTAAAAGCAATTGTTGACAAATCAGAACGAAGTTATGTTTTTTAAAAAAACATTTTACAATGACAGTGAATAGTCAGTTTGGGAATGTTTGATCATAGTGAAGTTTTTCAGCTTCACACAGAGGTGGGCAGACTAATTCATTTCAGACACAGGCCGCAATTCTTTAATAATTCATTTGAAACGTGGTCATTATTGCAAACCTTGATCTTTTTTGTCAATAATAGCCAATTTCAGATGCTAGCTGTTAAAATTATAGATCTCTACCTGTTTGGTGTCGCTGTGGTAGCACAAAATGATTTTCTTTGGAGAAATTTCAAAAGTCAGGTTATTATAAGTCAATTAGCTAATTAAATATTAAAAAAACAGACATAAAATAATGTCCCCGTTATTTTGACAGCCAGAAGACAGCATAGCATAACCTTAATCCATTTATATCAAGGGGATTTTATCTCTGCATGTCAGTTGCTGAAAAGTCTTTTTAAAAGTATCTCCCTTATTCTTTTTTAAGTAACCTTTTGAATACAATAACCTTGACTTAAATCCTTCTGACAAGTTGAATAATGGACTTATTCTCAGCCTTTTATTTTATGGTATGTGCTTCATAAAGACTTTTATGGGCTGGCTGTAATTCAGGGTGGATAATATTTTAGCTTGTAATGTAATAGAAAATATTTTGCATTAATTATACAGGAGGATGGAGGCTTTTTTGCCAGCCAACTGAACATTTTACAAACCGAATAGTTTACATTTGTGGTATTTGAATTACAAAATAGCAGAACAGTTCTTACATTCACATTAGCATTCTTGTCAGCTGCGACATTCATTGTTTATTCTGCTATTTACCAAAGGGACTGAAACAAATCATCAGCTACAAACTCCACTTGATCAAATTAGCTGCCGTTTCTCGTGATGATGTATTGATTCTGTGTTTGAGTGGGTGCAGAACAAAGGGAGATGCCAATGTATCATGTTTGTACATGAGTGGTTGGGGTTGCTGAATCACAAGAAAGCACAAATCTCTACGTTTTGGATGGTTGAAATCTAAAACGGGAAGTAGGCTGCTACATTGCTAAAATATAGTATGATTATATATGGATTTTGCTTTGAAACAGTACTGCTAATGTTTTGTTACATTTGATTTACAGAAGACTGACAATGAAGAGAACCCCATCGAGAGGGATTCAGGCTTCCATAACCAATTATTTTTCTTGTTTACCCCTTTATTGGTTTACGATGAATGTGATCTCACCTGTGTCTCGAACCATCTCATTTGAGCTTTTAGGTTGACAAATCAAAGAACTCATCAAATTTTTGTAAAATAAACTTGTGTTAATTGGAGGAAAAGTGATATTAAAACTTTACATTTTTTGTTCAGGGCTTTATAATTGATTTTAGTTATTGTATAGCTCAAGTTTTAACTTTTTTATTGTGAAGAAAACAATTTTTAGTTTAATTATGTTGACATTCATATTTTGTTTTGATATTTATTCTGGGAACAAAATATTAAAGTCATATTTTGGAAAAAACATTTTTGAAGTTTCAAAGTCTGCCAAATTCAATGTCTAAATCAAATTTGTTTAATACTTTAAGCAACCATAATCAGTCATTGACAATTACAAAGGTGAAAAGTTAGATTTTTTTGTTTGTTTTTTTTTATTTATTTGTTTTTTCTGTTTTGTTTTTTTATTTTTTTTTATTTAATGTCGGACTCCCTTATTTGTTAGTCTATAAATGGCTTGAATATACTTCAAAACCTTTGGTTTTGAGTTTACTAAAGATCAGATAAAGGTTAGGGATGTAATGAGTGGAGATGATCCTATTATTCCTTCATCTTTCGTCCGTCTAGCTAATGCCTGTTTTAAAGAATCTGCAGCACTTTATTCTTCTATTTAATGGTTCTTATTAAAAAAAATGAATCAGAAATAAATTCCAAAATTTGTCATTAATACTCCCAGTATAGAATTTATGGAAGAAAATATAGTTTGTTGCCTAATTGTCAAATGATATAGGCCACATAAATGTTGATGGACCTGTCTCCAGGGGAAACATTAGTCTGATATTTAATTATCGAGAGAAGCATAAACCATCCTCTGTTGAAGAGATGAAGTTAGAATTAGATTTTATCTTTTTGCGTTGTGCTTTTCTATTTGCAGCAGTTTCTCTTGGATTAACAAACACATTGCAGATATTTGAACATTTCCTTTTTCATGTTTGGTTTGCACTTAATACAGAATTTATATATTAAAATATCACAATTATTGAAATATGGGTTTGCTTTCATCTCAGTACATCTATTTTAAGCTGACTTTTATGACATCGTAAAGTCTTTGAAGCTTATTGATTTTAACTTTAACAAATAATATTCTACATCAGTCAGGTCCTACCTTTCATATAATGCAGTTTATAGATCACTCTTGTAGGATAAAGGCATGTCATGTTGCTTTTTTTAAAATGTTTTTTACAAAAATTTGCCAGCCATGTCATTGACTTTTCATTTTATCATCAGATTCCTCTTTCTGCGTGATTTAATTTAATCTCTGTGATGCATACATCTTTCTCCACTGAAGAAAGACTGAAAGCACATAAATCATTTTTTATGGTTCTGTCCAAGACTGATTTGTGAACCACTGATGAAGAGAGACCAATGCGTCAACTGTAACTCTTGCTTAATCCGTCTTTACTGTCCCTGTTACTGGTGTATGAAAAAACAACTATTTAAGATAATGGTTAACCTGGTGGGGGCCAAGTAAAGCCCAGTGGCCCGCCAGGCTTATAGTACACTGGGGTTTTATGTTGAAACTCCTGTGTATGCATTGCACCTTATTTGCATGTAACATTCCTGTTTCCTTACATTTAAAATGCAGAAACATATCTGTTGCTGCCGGCTAGTGATTATTGTCCCATAATTCATTCTTCATTGTTTTGTGTCTCTTAAATGTTAATATTACAACAATTCTGAAATCCTCTGTCTGGCTGAACTTAAGATGGAAAATATAAACTTTGCTTCTCTTCTGTTCATTTGCAGGTAGCTTCCGTTACTCTTGTGACATCTGTGGCAAGAAGTATAAATACTACAGTTGTTTCCAGGAGCACCGTGACTTGCACGCAGTGGATGGTAACCTCAAGTTTTGGTGCAACAAGTTGTTTTTTGCGTTACTAAAGAACACTTTCAGCATGTCAATGCTTTTGTTTCCGTCTCCCTTAGATCCGTATGAACAGGTGGTTCTACCTGTTGATGGCCTTAAAGAAGAGGAGCCTATTGAACCCTATCAGAAAATTGGACCAAGTAAGACTGAAGTACTCATAGTTCGTTTGAACATATGCTATTATGGTTCTCAAAATTACTTTTCTTTTTGTTACGTTTCAAAAAGTCCCACAATAAATCACACACTACAAACCCAGACCTATTTTCCAATCAGTGTAAACCATCAGAAACCATCCTACCTAAGATTTTTGATTAATGTTATCGATAGTTTCTAACTTTTTAAGTGAATTATAGATCATTTCTGTGTCCAATTTTCTTTTCAGTTGATTTAATTTGAATTGCCAGGTGCTACATGCCCGCAGTCGCTTTTAGCCAACGTGCTCCCGAGTTAAGTTGGATGATTGACTCACTTACTGTGCAAAGAGATGCTGTAGAATCTTGTCTTGCTGACTGGACAAGTAAAATGTGCATAGAGAGTTTAATATAGAATCAACAAGAAGAATTTATTTGGTTGTACTTACCAGGCTTACCCTGCTAGCATATCCTAGCTAATCAACCACTGGTGTACTATTAAACTATTACTATAGTTTACTACTATTACTACTATTACTATTATTAAACTATTACTATTAAACTCCTACATGCTACCTGAGGATATTTCCACTGAAGACTTTTAGAGCATGGATTTACTGCAGCATGATGAAACAACAAATTCTTATTTTATGTTAAATTGCCATTCTCTTTAGTAGGTTATTCCCAAAATGTGTAAAATAGGCTTTAATAGGAGAACAAAGTGATTGTTCAAATAACCTGTATCTGGATCTTGTTGTTTACAAAAAGCATATGGTTGATCCTCAGCAGTTTTACATTTATTCCAGTATTAATAGGAATGTATGTATATATTTGAGCCTCTACACATGACTTTAACATTATTAATTCAAAAAGTGAAGCTAATTTTTCATATATTCTTTGTACACATAATGATGTATTTCAGGTGTTTGTTAATTTTGGTGATTATGTTTAGGGCTCCTAAAAAAAAAAACAAAGTCTGAGAAAAGTGAAATGTTACTGAAGATTGACAAAAAAAAAATTAAAGAGAAATTTTAGCATCAAGAAAAACATGTCCATGCACTGTATAGTAAAGTACAGGCCCTGTTATTGGTCTTGTTCCAACCCTCTTTTGCATGATTTACTGCAATAGTGTGGCATGGTGTGGATGTGATCGTCCTGTAGCTCCGCTGCGGTGTTAAAGAAGTCCAGACTGATGTCTCTCATTGACATCATAGTCAGCCGGCGTCCTTACAGACATGTCAAAGTCTGACATGTAAGCGTTTGGCAGTTGACAGGGTTTAAAACATTTGAATTAATCTTATATAATATAACATTTTTGAGAGAAATTTAATTCATTGTTTTCATTATGTTTAAGACTTACACATCAACTTTAAACAAATAATTTCCCATATTATATCACTGTGTGTAATAAGTCCATATAAAATGAGTTTCACTTTTTGAATTGAATTATTGAAGTAAATTAAAAATATATTGAAAAGATAACTTTTCAGTGATATTTTTATTAAATTAAATGCACCTGTGTGTGGGGACAGACACTGGTTAACACAAAGTCTGCTCTGCAAACATAATCACCAGTGTAATTTTAGCCTCTTATTTCCTCTTTTTTTCTGATGGCAGACATGATTGCTTCTGTATTTATTGGAGTAATTAACAGGTTAATTGTGTTTATTTTCATCTCCAGAAACCGGGAGCTATGTTTGTGAGTTCTGTGGGAAGCAGTACAAATACTTCAACCCATACCAGGAGCATGTTGCTCTTCATACACCATTGGGTGAGTCTGATTAAAGCACCAAGCCAAAAAACTTCATGCAACTAAAATTTTATTTAGAGCAAATTAGAGGAATGGTGGAAAAATATTGTTTTTACATTCTAGCTTTGTGGAAGCCTATAAATGTACTGTAATTGCTTTTTTTCCCCTTCAATACAAGTGAAAAAATATGATGTTGACATGTTTAATTACCAACAAAAAAAGAGAAAATGAAACCAAATAAGAACAGTATGATTATTTGTCCCTCCTTAGGTTTAGTGGTGACTTGAAGTCTGCCAAGTTTTGGTTTTAATCATAAAGCATTTATTAATTAAGTTTCAGATGAAAACATTTTCACAAACTGCCTTTGTAAAAGGAATCTTCTCACAAAACAGTTAAAATGCTTTATTATATAATGTATTACAGGAGTTTGCAGTTATATTGCTTTACTAAAAGATGTTCTATGAACATATATCACTAAGTCTTACATTGGTGGGTATGTGACTCGTAAATACTTTTGTTATAGGGTCATTTGATTTGAAGACTTCACGTGTACAAGAATGTGGTACCCTGGACATGAGTAAATTTAGCCACAGCCAGGCTAGTAAGATAAAAAGTAAGTATGGCCTTATTTTGTGACATTTCTGTTTTTTGCTATGTGAAGTTGGATGAATAATACCCTGCTGAACTAAATTTCAATCAAACTCACAATGAATTTTGTCTGTTTCCTTCCGAATTACAGGTCTGAGCAAAGCACTGAGCAGTAAGTTTCATTTTATTTTGATTCTACACATAAAAGAGAGCATTCAGATTTGTATACAGTATATTAACAAAACCTTATTTAATTCCATCTTGGCCACACTAACAAAACATTCATCCTTATCATACCAGGAAAATGATTTTGCATATATATATTGGGGGTTGTGATTTTTTTTTTTTCATTATTTCATCATACATTTTAGCCTCACTTTTCTAATCATAATAAAAGTGCTTTAACTGGAACCTCAAAAACATACACACATTCATACACTGACTTGGCAATTTGGGGATAAGTGTCTTGCCAGGGTGAAGCTTGAATTGAACCAACAACTTTGGGATTGCAAGATAAAGACTCCTCCCACACTATCAGGAAGACGTCTGGAGGGACTGTGATACAATTTTGATTATAATTTTTATTTACCGGTATTCTAGATTTGATTTATGTGCAACACAGTTATACATATTACACCAATAATAAGTACAGAGGATTGAGTTAGTTGTGGACTTTGATACATTTGATTAAAAATACTAGAGCCCTGGTATAATACTCGATATCGAGGCATCCTTATTTGTATCATATCATCCTGGGGTATTAAACCACTTTTGCTGGATTTCAGTTTAAATATATCCAAAAAAAAAAAAAAACAAAGTTGCTTTTTCTCTTGTAAAATGGTCTTTTTAAAAAAAATAGACAGCAAATGCTGTTGACCATTTTTGTAACTAAAATAAGCAAAGGAATTCTCACACAAAAGATAAAAAAATGCACATTAAAAAAGTCAACAATCATCATTTTTAGGTTAGCAAAAATTGACAAATTCTCAAATGATAGTGCAATTTTTGAGTCTCATTTTGCCATTCCACACCATCCCCCACTTCCCCAACCTATCTTTCTGCTAAGAAGCACTCAGCCTATTTAAAGCACGGCACACGCTCGCTTTGTAGAAGTGGGTCAAAAAGATGAAACGAATAGGCAGAATTAAACCCATATTTAAATGTAATATGACCATTTGGATCCTTATTCAAACCTGTCAGAATGATTGATTTCAATGCTGCAGATTAAAATTAAATGTACACTGCATGCCATTAATTTTGCTTCAACCTAATAGTTGTGGGTGTTCGTAGCTTGAATTTAAAATATTTTGCCCTTTTTGTTTTTTCTGCGCAGGTCACTTGTTTTTTATGAGTATGCCACTTATTGTTTCTCCTGTTTTTCCCTTGTAGACAGCCCATTTAGACGGAAATTAGAGAGCGCGATTCAGACCAGTTTGGTTGATACAAACAGTTCGCAGAACTCAAGTGGTAAGCACTTAGTGTCTTGTTTAGTGGATTTCTAACTGTGCATGGAAATGTATTATTTCTACTCAAAGTGGGAGATGTATTTTTATGTTGTACTAAGCAGATATTTGTTTCTGTCTGCTTCAGATGCTCTCAGCAGATATTGTTTTGTTACTCTTTGCGGGGCTGAAAATTGAAATGGAGTCTGTGTATAGAGGTTTGAGTGACCTACCTTGCATCAATTGTTACTATATAAAACTCAATTCTGATAGCTGAAAATAATATTTTTCATCTCCCCTCTCTGATCATGAAACTAGAGATGCTTTTGAAAATCATGTTTTCTCTTTTATAAACGGCTTCTTTGTATTACCCAAGATGTTCAAACAGAACTGTATAACCCTCATCTAGTAGAAAATGGTTGGTGCAAAACAATACATCATAAATTAGAGTGCAATGATGTGCAAAACATTTAAAGTCTGCATTCAATTCAGAGTAGCACAAGCAGTAAGACAACATCCAGTCTTGAATTTGAGAAATGTTATTTTTAAATGTTTACTCTTTTTAAAATAGATGCTAACCACATGTTTAAAAATAGCTTGCACCAGGGTGTGTTTTACCACTCTATTGCATCACTACTTATTTTAACAACACTTGGTTTAGGATTGAATAACTAAGGAAAACTGTTCCATTTTAAATTTAATAGTAGTAGTAGTATTCCTTAATTTTTGGGATTTATCTCTAAAGCAATCCTTTATATTTATTCACTGGGGAACAAGTCTTGACTGACGTTAGACCAGATTACAGAAAAAGTCATACGTTGAAATGCACTTATTATGGATATGAAGGTCATTGATTTGGGTATTTTTATATTTGTAGATTTTAGTGCACAAACTTTAATTTATATTGGACTTTCTTCTTATTCACACAGGATAAAAATCACAGACTCCAAAATATATATTTAACCACCTCTAATATTTGGCTAACTGTCTTTCTGCAATTTGACTACATTCTTCTTGTAGCGATTAACCAGATTTTAGTGTAACCCTGTTTGAATCTTTGATTACTGCTTTTTGGCAGAGTTGATGCAGTTTATTTAAATCGGTTTGTGTCCTGGCACTGAAGCATAAACCACATATTTTCTTGAGGGTTGCGGTCAGAGCTTTAGGAATGTCTTTCCAGAAGCTCAGCGTTAGTCAACTTTATCTATTTGGGAAGATTTTTCTGTTGAAACACCACCAATTTTCAATGACTTGATCTAAAGTATCACATATGGACATGTCAATTACCTTAATGAGAGAGTTTTTATACGGGACAAAGACTGAAACCTTTGTTAGAATTAAAGCTCGACTTCCAAACCCTAACGTCAGGAGAAAAAAAAAGAACTATATCACATTAGAAAAACTTACAATTTTTAACGCAATTTCAGAAAACATGAAATTGGATAGAATTTACATATAACTGATAATAAGTATCTGAAAAATACTTTCAGATGCATTTGAATAATTTTAATATTACTAAAACATTATTTTATTTCTAACTCAATGTACTAAGTAGAACACATTATGAAGATTAATTACATGTAGACTGAGGGTTTATTTTTATTAATTTTGCTTATTTTTAACTTGCAGCTGATGCAGACATGACATTTGGGATTTAGAATGTTACATCAGGTCAATAAAAAACATTTTGATCCAAAAATATGGGCTTAATTAAGTATTACCTGCTTTGTTTTCGTGTGGTGCTTTTTAACTTGACTTATAAGAATCACTTTGTGCTTACAAGCCCAAATATTCAAAGTGTTACTGTTTGAGTATACTCTGATCAGAAGACTACTTATGCTGTTAAGTTCATTTTGTGTACACGATCTTAATTTTTGGTTTAGTCTTAAACTAAAAAACTGTATCCTAAAATTGCCTGGCTGCACAAAACTCATCTACAGAAGCCCCCTGGAGTTCCAAGGCATAATTCACAAAGTAAAAATGAAAACCAAAATAAATTGTCAAACCAAACCAAGATGCACATGAAAATCTCAGAAAGCATTAACCTTTATTTTTGCAAGTTCGTGGGAGGAAAAAAAGAGTGGGGAAAAAAAAAAAAAAACATCCTAAGGGATTGTTAGGTTTTCTATACTTCCTTTTAATTGGGCAGGGATTGACTTATTATAGGTTATCTTAACCATTGCATTTACTTATTTTTAAATTCAGAAAATAAGGCAGTTTCTACTGCCAAACAATAAATAATCCTGGGAGGGGATCATTACAATTATGACAGAAAATGACTGTTTTGGGATCTGTAACCAAAATAGAAAAGAAGTCCAGAGATTAGCAAATCATCCCGGCAGCTCAACGCTTCCACAACTGCCTGAGCTAGTCCATGGTTTCACTGCAATAAATTCCTATTTACAAAGCAGTGTCATATAATAACCGCTCATCTCTTTGCAAACATGCTTGCAGGTAAAAGCTCAACGAAGTTCATTTTGAGGGAAAGCATTACCAAATTTTGAACGTTTAAAAGAAGGTTTTGTTTTTGTTTGTGTAGTGATCACTAATTAAAATATTAGTTGCCATATAATCATGTGAAAGCAACCAGACCAAAACACACAGTGATGAAGATTATTAGCTTAGCATTATTATTGCTTGTGTGGCCTTGGAAGTTTAAATTTGGTAGCATGATTATAGGCCATTTTCTACTGCAGTTATAGGGTCTAAGATTAAAGCTGACCATACAGGCTTTAGCTACACTATATCAAAGCAGCCCTGATGATGCTGCAACTAGCCTTTATTGCTCTAAAGATGAAGGCCTTTTCATGTTTTATTAGACTGCACTTTGGTTTTGCTTTCAAAAAAAAAAAAAAGCATTTACACCCTTTTGTTATTTGATACTCCTGTTTTTGAATAAATCCACTCTGAATTATTGTTTCAAAAATAGCAGCATAGAATCTGGAGTTCGGCAGATTTAATGAAGAGAGAGAAAGAGTGATGCGGAAAGGCCTGCACCACAGTGTCTGTAGCTTTAAATCCTTCCCTTTCCTCTTGTCAGCAGGAACTCCGAGCCCTCTGGTGGCCACCACCTTCTCTACATCACAAAGTAAGTAATAGTGGCAAAAATGTAAATATTGTGCTATTCTTCTGGACTCCAACTTTCCAATTCTTTTTTGTTTTGTTTGTTTGTTTAAGTTAAGATGTAAATGCTGTTTTTTCTGTTATTTTTTGCCTTATTAGAGTCAATTACTAAAGTCTAAAATAGCCCAACAGAATAAGGAGGGGCTTCTATATTGGATGTGATTCTATCTTGAATCACAGTAACCTGCAAACACCCTAAACAATTATATGATAATATAACTGTCAATCCATGACAGATCAAGGAAAATATTAGCCAGGTTGAAAAATGCACAGTATTTTTATTATTCTGATGACAAAAAGTCAACAGTCTTTTGGGCGTTGTGATCTTTTTAGAGCCCTACACTTGTGGTGCCTGTGGCATCCAGTTCCAGTTCTACAGCAACCTCCTGGAGCACATGCAGTCGCACGCTGGTGAGTTTACGAATACAGATAAGCCTTGAGCTTAGCACCGAGACAAATGAATAATGTGCACAAGTCCTCATTGGCAACTAGTTTTGAGGTGTAGTTTTTAAAGTTGTGCTCAATATTAATGCAGAGTTTTAAGAAAGAGATTGTTATAAGGGTTGTTGCAGATCTGGATCTGAAGCTGCTGTGGTCTTTGTCTTGTTGAAAAATATTTTGAGAATCATAAACTTAATCAGGAGCGTGTCTTTGGTTTGGCTGTGGGACGTTTTCCGGTTTTTACCCTTGTGTATACCCAGACAGTCCATTTCGTTCCAACATATTTCCGCCTCATGTCTGTAAACAAACCATTTTGTGCCCATACACTTAAAATTTATGTTTGTAGTTAAGTGGTTTTAATGAATTTTAGAGACTTGTGTCAGCATTTGAGTTTCATCTTGTAAAGGAGATGACGCTTAGCACTGTGACTGTGATCACTCACTCAAAAGATGTACACCACTGATTGGAAAGACGATTAATCTATTAATGAATCAGAGTTGTCAAGAGCATAATTTTAAGGTTTCTTTTCCCATTTTGTTTGTCCCTAAATTTTCGTACCTTTGTTTTACAGTTTCACTGCTGGTTTCCCAAGATGTACTCTATTGATAAATGCTTTTTCTGCCATCTGTCTATTTTCAGCTGATAATGAGAACCACACCAAAGGGGACTCTCCCAAAACCTCTTCAGCTTCGGGTCCTCAAGAGCAGCTGTGGAGAGGGTCCCAGGCTCAGGCCCATCCCTCAGTGAAAATACAAATCCAGCCTCAAAGTATCTCTCAGAGGAACCATACACTCAGCCGTAAGTACTGCTCGCTCATTAAGTCTAAGGATGTAGACAAATAACAAGTAAATGAGCCCTCCCTCGTTCATCTTTTTTTTTGATATCAACAGTTATACTAGTATATTGGTATTGCAGCAGTATCTTACTTACAATTTCACTTAGATTGTTAACCCAGACTAGCTAAATGAACGATCGCTTGTAATGCAGTTTTGCACCACCAAAGAAGTTTGTGATTATTATTTTTTTTTTCAAAACTGGCCCTGGAAAACACTGTTCACCCTGTAACACGATGGGTGCAAATGGCATCAAATCACAGAGAATATGTCAACAACATGTTTTTGAGAGCTCTTTAGTGAGGAACTCAGATCCAGCATTCAAGGTTGGATGTTAAATGTGAAATTTAGAACCGTTTTCAAAAAAATTCCCGACTTTTTTCTGTTATTTTCAGGAAATTTATATTTTCCCAGCAAGTGAAATATTAGAATCAATCCATCAAATACCTCAAATAATAATAATGATTATCTCTGTTTTTTATTTTTTCCCTTGTAATCCATCTGACTCAACTGGCAGAGAACAATGGGCTACCTGAGAAGGAGAGGCAGCAGGTGGCCGAGCGCCTATTACGGGTAATGTGCTCTGATCTGAACATGCTCAATGTGCTAAACAGCAAAGACTTCCTGAAGCTGGCACAGACCCTTGTGGACACAGGGGCTCGTCACGGCGCCTACTCCACCCGCGATGCTCTTGGCAACATGAGTGCCTTGGCACTGCGCCAGCTTCCCCGCATGTACAACCAAGTGAAAGTCAAAGTCACGTGTGCCCTGGGCTCCAATGCTTCACTGGGCATCGCAGTGACCTGCCACTCCCAGACCTCTGGTCCAGATGCCTGCTACGTGCTCACAGCCTATCAGGTGGAGGGATCCCGCCTCAAACGTTACGTGCTCGGCGTAAGGGAGGCGGAGCTGAGGGAGGGGCCCGAGCAGATTCACCACTGGGTGCAGAACGTGCTGTCTGAGTTTGTCATGTCAGACATTCGAACCGTTTATGTCTCCGAGCCTCGACTGTGGGCAGCCGGATTCGCAGGATCGCCACTAGGAAGCGGCGGGCGGGGCAGAATATGTCTGCGGTGTGCAGGGTGTTCGCTCGGCGCCGTCGTTCAGGCAGTTCTCGGGAAACGCAGCCTCCAGGCTCGAGGGCTTCACGAGTTAGCCGAGCTTCTCTCAACCTGCAGAGATATTGCCTCCTCTTCCACGCTGGCCCTTCGTGAGGAACAGTGCTTCAACACATCCACAAGCACAACTGAGGAAAGTACACAAGGCTCCCCTGCACAATGCCCCACACCTCCATGCTGGGACCGCATGGCAGAGGCCCTCCTGCAGGTCCACGCACACTTCGAACACATCTGTGAGGCTTATGGCCGCAGTAAGTCCACCGTGCCACTTCTTCAAGGACTTAACAAACATCTGCTAAGCACCCTGGCTTGTCTCCTGGCTCCTCTTCGCCTGGCAGCTCTGGAGCTGAGCAGCCAGAGGAGACCAACCCTACAGCAAGTACTGCCTGTCTATCTGCGCTTGGAGAAGTTCTTCACATCTAAAGCTGGGGAGGCTGGAACCGGCACCGCTAGCAAACTCTGCCACTATTTCCTTGAAGCTCTCAAGGAAAACTTTAAGGTACCAAATTGGTTCCTTCTTGTTACCTGTACTGTATTTTCTCCTAAAAAAATGTTATTGTAAATTTAATAAAAGATTACAGCTATCAGACTCTGAGCTTGTTAATAAGGAAAAGAAAATATTCATTTTTTCAGTGAGAAAAACAATCCAACAGTCCCACTCCAAATGTTCACACTTTGAAGTGAACATGGAAAACTGATGGAAGTATTCACATAATAAATAACATTTCCTCTTCACCACAGATCAGGGCTTAATGCACTTCTGAAGGCATGTGGTTGAACTGTACGGAACATATCAGGAACTAGTGACCCTGATATGCAGAACCTTGCAAAATTATTAATACAAGTGGGGCTGGCAACATGTTGTGGGGATGCTTTTCTTAGAAAAAAACCTTAAAGATAATAAATTGTTCAATCCAAACAGAGACTGGTCAGTAAAAACTACCCTAAACGTACAAACAGAGCTACAATGGAATGGTTTAGATCAATGCATGTTCACATGTTAAAATGATCCTATGACATAAGAATTGCTTTTCACAGTTCAACTCACTGAACCTGAGCTATTTTTCAAATAAGGACAAGCACAATTGCAAAAATAAAATCTATTGAAGATTGAAGCACAAGCTGGTAGAGATTTACCTTAAATAACTGTATAGCAAAAAGTGGTTACTTAAAAGAGACTCAGAGGGGGTGAAAATAAATGCATTTATATTATTTTTTTTTCTTTTTTGGAACATTTCAAATGAATAAGTACCATGTCAACTTTGTTTTAGTCTGCAAAATATCCCAATAAAATACTGAATATCTGTACAGAATGCTGTATAATTGGTTAAGAATAATTTTGTTTGGTGTTCATTCAAATAATCGGTGATATTTCTCTGTTTACAGGTTGAAAGAGCCCACCAGGTAGCCATGGTCCTGGACCCGCAGCTCAAGCTGCGTTCAGTTCCAGCCTATCAGCACGAGGATATCATTTCCCGTGCCTGTGAAATGGCTGCTGAAAGCAGGGATGGAGGTCTGAGTGGTGGAGGTGGTTCTAGTGGAGAAGAGAGGGATGGAGACGGGCCCCCAACCCCAAAAATAAGCCGTATAGATGGTGCTGGAAACAACGGCGGACCCTCAAGAGGTTCCTCGCTGGTTTCCGGGAACGACGAAGGTCCGGGACAAGTCAGACAAGAGATTTTTCAGTACCTGGCCGAACCTCTTGTCCAAGGAACACCTGACCTCTTTCAGTACTGGAGCTCGACAGTGAGCGAGAAGTTCCCCAGGCTCGCTCGCTTGGCGCTGTGGCTTCTCGCCGTGCCTGCGGTGGGCATACGCAGTGAGTGTGTTACTGTGTGTGAACAAAGTCTGGCAATGAAGAGGAGGCAGCAGGTCACTGCTGAGGAGATGAATAAACTCATTTTTCTTCGCTCTAACATGGGTTAGAAAAACAATCCCAACAGTCCCTAATCAACCAAACGATCATCCAACCAATGACTGAAGATGCATATTTATGTACTGTAGGTTTAGACAAACTGTAAACATCAGTGTGTAAGAAAACTAAAGACTCCTCAAGGCAGAATAATACAGAAAAAAACACACACTGCAAAGACTGTACACACATATAAAATTAAATGGCTTTTTATATATTTTGTGAGGACCGGGTTGATGTAAAGTACAGAGCAAAGAGAAGGAGTGGAATGGTATCTCTGACAAGACGAGACAGTCCTGTTTGGTGCGCTGCCCTCGGTTTAAGTCGCACGTGTGAGCAGGAAGAATTTCATTGTCACAGTCAGTGATTTAAATTACTCCAGCCTAATGATTAAACCTCTACAAGGCTACGATGCTGTTACTCTCACTGGTTGACAACATTTTCAGGTAATTAGAGCTCTCACTGCTTCGGCCTACTGTTACACACCTCTGAAAAAAAAACCAACCTACTTCTCAAAACCGTTCAGGAGGGAGATAACGGCAAACTACTGTAGCAGTACATTTAGGGTGTATAATGAAAGAATTACTTAGTTAATATTCACTGCCACTGCACCTCTGAAAATTAGGTGCACTACGTTTAGGATTTTCTTACACAACTAACCTAAAATGAAAATACTTCAGCTTAGTCGATGTTGGACAATAGGCAGAAAACGGAGCTTAAACGTTGCGGATGCTTTGATGGCCAGAAAATGTAGCGTTGGAGGATTTGCATGCACTGCATGCATTTTTTCTCAACTGAGAAGGTAACTAATTTTATGTGATGCTTTCCTTTTTAATTACAAAATGGTGAAGAAAATGTGCTGAAATTGTTTTCTTTGTTTTTTGATGTACAAGTCAAACCATTAGACTTGCACAGATCTGAAATTAATAGAAGTTCAAAGGATTAAAAGAGGAAAGCATCCAATTAAATATATTTGTTTTACGTTTTTTTAATGAAATTGTTCAGTCATACTTGTTATAGCTGGATTACTCCCAAAATGTATTCCATAACATTATGAAATAATAACTTTTAAAATGTTTTATTGTTTTAAAACAGCACAACCCAGGTAGTATATTGCATAAAAACCTCCTGCAGTTGATTTTACGAGCTTAATGGTTACCAGGGCTGGTAATTCAGGAATGCCACATCACTTTGCACCCGCTATCAACAAGTAGCATCAATGCACTTGTTTTAGATTCACACATTGTACCTGGACTCTCAAGAGAACAGCTTATCATTCATTTGGTGAGCTTGCTTGCACGAGTTTATTCCATAATGGCATTTTTCAGCAGGTATATGTATTTATTTTTTTGGAGCTCGTTCAGAAGACAAATAGAGTCCATTGGAAGTGTGCTGGTTTATTTATTGTTACTTCCCAGTTTTATCATTCTACTATAAACATCGTCTTCCTATTTTGAGCTATAGATTTCCATTTTTAAGGCAATAAGCTTTAATACAGCACACAGGTCCCGTTATCTGACTGTTCTCACAACGCAAGTCATTAATCTGCATCAAATCGTTTTAACATTTATTAAATCAATAGGATTTTCTCAGGAATGAGCACATCCGAGCAGGCACCGCCACTTTTTCCTCACTGTACCTAAAAAGAAACCAAACTGTGACCTCAGTGCTGAGGTGGATACCGAACCACAACTCTGTTTTTCAACCATTCCACCCAAAATACACCTGGTGCCATCGAAAAGAAACACTGAGGAATTTTATTTTATTCTTTATTTTTTGGTCTACCAGTGTATCCGCTAAACTTAACGTAAGTGTGTTCATGAAGTGAGTGTACATTAAATTGCGCTAATACCTCCTTAAATGGCTTGGAAGAATGGAAACTGCTGTTTGTTGCCTTTGGTAATTACTATTCAATCTCTGGTTTGTTCTCTCTGTTTTTGGGCCTTAAGTCTCTTCCTTGACTCGACCTGTAACCCTTCAGTTTTCTTGCCTTTGTTTTGTACATTAATTGCCTTCTTTTATGTTAAGCATTTGCTTCTTTTCTTTTGCCATTCATGTAGACTTATCAGGAATTTATAGCTGGAAACAGCGTCCTCTAGTGTCCACATGGTGACTTTTTTTTTATCATGTATAACTGTGTGACTTAAGTGCTTTATTTATATGTTTAGTAGGTGAAATCAGATGAGCATGTATGCTCATAAAACAGGTCAGTAGTAACTTAAGCATTAAAACAGGTATCCACTGTATACATAGACTTAAAATGACTCTACATCAGAATCGAATTTGAATATTTAGATTATTTTTATTGGTGTCACACCGAAGGACGTTTCAAAACTGATACTGTGATTTGAGATTGTATTTTCACACAGCTTGAATTTTGCTTAATACTCTTAAATGCTGCAGTGCAAGTATTTATTTTCTCATCCCCTTCCCCCACCAAGTAACCCTTCACTTTGTAAAATAACAGAAAAAAAACACTTATATTTCTCCGCACCTCAAAATCCCCTCACCATATTATACACTGTACTATAAGATGTTCTGCAGCTTTCAGGTGATTTCACGTTGTTTTCTGTTGAAGCCTGTATGGCGACAGTTTCAGTACAATAACAGCCTTCTCAGAAAACACTGATGGACTGTACACAGACACAAAGTCCTTTTAACACTGTTAGCACTCACTTTTGCACAGACAGCTTCACACTAATGCAGTTCGCAGCGATCATTGGAAGGCTACAGGCAGGGCTGTTTTGTTTAAAGTGAATGTAAGTGTGCAACAAGTGAAAATACATCTGTGGGAATAGTAACACGTTTGTAAAGCCAAAAGAAAAAAGAAAACTGATTAACATTTCAGATCAGTACCAGTTTTGATTCAAACTATTTTTTCCCCTTTTATCTGATTTTTAATTTTATGAAACACTTAAGAAAAACAAGACAACGATCCGAGGATTTGCTTTGCAAACTTTTTGTTTAGCCACATATTTTTTAGTAGACTTTAGATTTTTGTTCTCCCAAGTTCCTAAAGGCCTTGCCTTACTTCCTTATCCCCACTTTATGATTTCTTAGAATATTCTGATTTTGTTTATTATATTTTAATTAAAAAAAAAACTAAAAAGAAAAAAAAAAAAAACGACTGTAAAATCTGTTTGAAATACACTTTTCAAGTTTCAATCCAATGTTTTACCTCAGCACTCAGAAGGCAGTATTGAGATTTTCAGAAACCAGTTAATTGAAATGTGGGTTAGATCAGAGAAATGGTCAAAATACTGCACATGGTTGTTGGTTTCAACAATTTTCCTGGGCTTACTGATGAAGGGATTTTTCTCACTGTTTTTTTTTTTTTTTTTTTTTTCCAATAGGATATGCTCTGGGACAAAATGCCATTGTTGACAAGAAATTAAATTTTCCTAGAAATAGTATTCTCTTTTTGTTGATTAAATGAAAAATATAACTAAGATATGCATGCTTTTGATAAGAGTAATCATATATAATATTATTAACCAGTGTTTCTCATCAGATAAAAATGAATCCTTCTGGCTCTGACATGATGTTACTTTAAGGTACTCTGACTGAATTTCTGCCTCTCAAGGTGGAAGTAGCTGTTCAGTTTTCTGGTTGGTGTTTAGAGGTTGACATCATCCCTTTTCGGAAATGGACTTTGTAAATACAGGAGAACTGCTGTTTTTATGCCACAAGGAGGCGCCTTCATTCAAGAGAACAAGTGGGGAGCACCAATAACATTATACCTCTTTTTTCTACAGTAGCATTTCAGAAAGTTTTGATATAATAGAAAAGTCAGCTTAGATACTTATACTAGAAACGCTGAATTCAGCTGTAAGTTTTCTTTTGTTTAAGGGGTTTAACTTATTCAGATAATAAAAGTTCAGTTGTGAAGTTGTGGTAAATGAATGCTAACATGGAGATCTGTTCAACTAGTTAATTAATTCAGGTTAAGAACTCGGTGTTGCTTTCATCCTATTTTACAGGCATTTCTTCCTTTTTATACTCAGCTAAAATGCAAAAAAAATAAAATAAAAAATATGTTGGATTCTGTTCAGCTAGTCTTTTTATCGCACTTTGGCAGCAGACTTCTGTGTAGATTCAGATCTGAGTTGTCTTATTAGTAAACCTAATTTATACTTTTGTAGCAACAATATTTTTATATAACGGCAAAGAAACGGTTGTCTTTTTGGTTTAGATTTTCTTTTCCTGTGACGTATATGACAGCGCTATTCAATGTTTCTTGAATAAATTACCCTCTGTAGTATGTTATGTGTGAATAAACTTTAAACTTCTGTGTGACAATATGCTAAGCTTGCTGTAGTTCTTGTATAAAGGTTTTGTGTGTAATCTGTTTTGTCTTTTTCTCTTATTTCCTGTGAAGATGAAGGTCAAGAGCTACGCTTCCTTGGAAGTTTTCTCTTGCACTTAACTCGCAGTGTCTTTCAGCTCTGCTTTCTCTTCACTACATCTATGTGACTGGTGCAGCAGTCGCAACAATTCATCTGTTGATCTCCCTCTTCTTCTCCCCTCACTCGTGAACAATCCCCTTGCAGGGTAAAAAGCTAATGCAGGTCCACTGACCTTTCCTAAAACTGCGAGACTTTCACTTATGCAGAAACCGCTTGCTGCATTTTTGATGGTTGTGCAGCAAACTCCACTTCTTTTGCCTCTGGACCTTACTCAAGGTCAAAGGCGCGTTGTTGTACAAATGCGCATCTGCTTGCAGCCATTTTCAGGTGTGTAAAGAGTCAATTAAATTCAAACATAGCTTTTATTGTTCCCAAAGGAACACTAAATATTGTTGCAAGTCGTTTAATTAAAGAGTTATTGCAGAAACAGAAAGCGGAGTTGGAGGCCTGGCCAGCACTTGCATAAGCCTGACGTAGCCCTAAAACAGCTGATTCTCAAAGGAGCTCATAATAAACAGAATGAGCAGATGAAGTCTCATAATCTGAGATTGATTTTTCCAAAAAATGGTAATGATTATGTTTAGTATGTCTCACAGATCTATCCTAATTTATTCAATTCATGTCACACGGCTGGATATGAAGGCATGTTACACTTTTTATACATTTATTTCCGAAAGAAAAAGTTGCAAACCTTGTATATTTTGTTTCTTCACATAAAAAACTAAACTTGTGGTTATTGAGTAGGAGATTTAAATACCTTCGCAAGGCACTGTAAAAATAGTGTAAGAGAACCTCGTGACATTTGAGATTTGACTCCTGTCGAATTGAGTTTGCTTTTTTTCTCCAGTATAATTTCACCCCAGGGAGAAATGAAGCCTTCCACAGTTTCTGACATAGGTGGGCGTCAGACACACGTCGAGTGAAAACAGGCCTTTCACAAAATAGCAGCCACCTTTGAAGCCCGCCCACAGGGAGTGTATACGCAGAAGCTGCTTAGAAGTGCGTGCAAGGGTTCCTCAGGGGGCTACGGACAGGGTGGAAGGGAGGGAGTGGGACAAAAAAAAGTTTGTCTGTGTTCTTCATAGGCTGCTGTTGCGGTCCCTCCCTTCACACCCAGGTCAGTCTGTCCCCAAGGTGCACTGAGGTGCAGCCATGCAGAAACACCTGCACTCACGTCTCCTCTGTTGCTCTAAACATAAGGAAATAAGGGGCTGCTTGCTTAAAGCCTAATTTGCAGCATGTGTCCACATTTGCCCTCCCTCCCCAGCTCTTTGTCTACTGCCACTCCAGCCCCCTCACCCACCACAGGCGCACACACACACAACGTAGCCCACTGTTGACTGTTGACAGTGACGTTTTTCTTCAAGCAATTACTGACGTGACGTGCCAAGTTTGTTTTTACTTACGTGTTTAGGAGCAAGTCCTCATTTTATGTTATTAAGAGAAGAAAAATGGGAGAAAATAACCCACCTAATGGACAATTACTTCCTCTTAGTTCAGGGTTATGGAGAAATTTAAAATCTGCATTCTCTCATAGGAACTCTTACACAACCTTTTACATATCCAAAGCGCAGAAAATACGTTTTTCAATTAACACCACATTCTGATATAAGTGTTGACTGAGTGCAATAGAACAATAATATGTACCCTGGAGCAACAGTGTAAAGGGGGTTCCTTCTAGAAGTCAGTTTGTGAACATTAGGTGGCAGTATAGGCTTTAGATGATTCAAGAAAAAGGACATAAAGGCAATTCAGTGTTAAACTACAAATAAAAACACCAGATCTGGAAAAAAGTTAGAACATGTGGGTTTTGTTATTATGGCTGTTTTAATTAGAATAACATGAAGAGCAAGATAGCATAAGTCCAGCTAAAAGATCTCATGCCATGAGATTACACGCTTTGCTTTACCCGCCAGAATACATGTAACTTAAAATGAGCAGGGAAAGTTTTACAGACTTCCTTTATGCCCTTGGCTGTTGTACAGCTAAAGAAGCAGCATCCAGGTTTCATTTCCCATGCCCAATTTGTCTGCTGTCATGCAGCTTTCCTTCCACCTGTGGAACTCACAAAGTTGGCACTTCCACTCCCGATCAACCAAGGACCATCAGAGCTGTCGCAAGTTCTCTGCCCAGTGAGCATCGGAGGGACAGGTATGTACAGAAGGAAGGAAGTGTTCCCATCTTCCTCTCTTTTGTCTTGCGTGGAGGACCTTGTGGCACCGGGATGGAGGTTTCTCCTGTTCAGTGGGTGCTGACTTTTATCAGTAGTGACACGAATGTACAGAACTGCCAGGGCAAATCCACCTAGTTGCTGTCAGGTGTCATTACAGCTAACACTCCACAAAGACCCTGACCTCAAAGGTACACAGTACACCTCTCTGTTCACCTGCCTGCTTCGCTCCCTTCCGCACACCTGCACACACACACGTATACGTGTGCACACACACACACCACATACTTGACTCACTTTTTCCTTTTTTTCTTTTATTCACAGGAAACCAAAAATGTGGATCCTTGGGGCTTCTCATGAATCTCTCAAATGCACTTCAGCCTTATTTCATAAATGATACAATATGTTGGAGCAGATGACGTTTACAGAATTGGGCAATCAGATTACACAATACTGCAATCAGTGCAGTTTTTTTTAACTATTATTATTATTGAAACCTATAAAATTATTACAAAGTATAATTTATCAAGGATCCTGTTAAAATGTGTTATGTTATTTTGGATATATATATATATATATATATATATATATATATATATTTTTTTTTTTTTTTTTTTTTTTTTTTTTTGAATGACGTTAGTTGTCCTTATTTATGCAACTAAATGCAAAATTAGTTTGAGTTATGGAGTTTGAAAGTTATTTTTCTTCAAACATGAAAAAATAAAGCTATGTACAAGTTGTATCACTAAAAAAAGAGAGTAGAAATCATGATATACATTTATCAAAGAAATACGCCTAAAATTAATTAAACCTTTCTGGGTAACAAATGGAAAAGCTTCAATTGCTATTGCAGTGCTTAATTTGCTTATGATGGCTAAGAAGTTTTTGTTTTGTTTGGTTTGGTTTGTTTTTCATGTTTTCAACGGTAAGTTTGATTTTTCAAGTTTTTGAGGTTGCAAGGCCTCTTGGCCATAACCTTTATCTTTGTCTGGACCATTCCAGATTGTTAATATTAGTTCCAGGCAGAAGAAACATGTTGTCAAGTTAAAAAGTGTATTTCAGATGTAAACCTACATGGTAATGAGCCTAATTGTATGTGTGCATACAGTTTTTTTTCTTTCTTTTTTCTTTTTTTACAGAGAAAAACTCAAAAGAACTAAAACAAAGATTTATTTGGATAAATGCAAACAAAACAAATGCTTGTGTCCAGTACTGGTGGAGGAAGAAGTTTGTGCTGAGTCCATTGTTGAAGAGAGTTGGTTTGGCAAATCCTACAATCGCTATAATCTGATGAATCTCCGTTTTTGCTTAGATTTCAGGAAGAAGGAAGGGTAACAGGTTCCTCAAAGGGTTTGGTGTGCTTGACACAGAGCAGTGTGAAAATGAATTGCATCAGCTGAAAATGTAACAAATGTTGCACTGTTGGTCTCCAATTGAATCAAATCAGGTGTGAAAACACCCTAAAACTCCAGACATCAGTATTTTCTATGACCACATTTTACTTCAGTCGCTGCTACTTTGGACTGTTTCATCCTATGCCCTTCCACCGGTACATGTCAATCCCAGGATTACTCTTTATTTAGTACCAAGCAGTCCTCATCAACTCTGATCCAACTTCCTTTGTCCCTGACAAATGAACACATTCCCACAGCATAATACTGCCACCATTATGTTTCACTGAGTCTGTCTTTGGTTCCATCTGCTCTGGATATCCACATGACTTTTCACAAACAGGACTCTTTCTTAAAGACACAATTCATGAAGTTCTTTGGCTTATGCGCTACTTTTAATTAAAATAAAACGCTCTGAATTTCTGTTGATGCACAGATTGTATTGCTTTATATTCATTGCTAAAACCTATTGATCATATTATTATTCCTTTCATGAATATATAAGACAATGTTAATCTTTTTTAGGTCACATGATTGCATGCCTCTCGTGACTTAGTAGGATCTATTCTAATTTAAACAGAGGTATATTTACCATTGAATAAGTTATCAGGGCTCACTCTTCATATTTGGCCTTCAGAATGCTAATCCAATAGGAACCAAGTGTTGCTGTGGGGTGGAGGAAAGAAAGTACATTTTTAATGATTTAGTATTAAGTGTCTTTCTCTTCTATATACTGTCATCTCATTTCCATGATTTGTAACTACTTGGTGGCTGGAATTATACCTTAGGGGGAATAATTCCTTGGCAAAATACACACTGAGCAATTCTAATTTCTGAGGATACTGAAAAATGACCCCTTTTATTAAGCCTGTTTGATGATTAAAGCCAATGGATCATTGGAATTTCCTAAGGTCTGCCAGGGGCAAAAGGCTTTTTGTGTCTTGTAATTTGCAAATGTGTGTGTGTTGGGGGGAATTATAAATGTAATTATACTTATGTATTTGTGTACTTTAATTGTTTTGGTCATTTTATCGAGTGACAAATGTACTACAAGTATTCAATATAAATGTGTCCTACAAACATTGACAATAAAAAGGGCTGAAGATAATCAGTGTATGAGTCTGTTAATGCCATGGGAAAAAAATGGTCATGTAGCAAGACATCCAAATTTCCCACAAAGTGTCTGGAATCTGGAACAAGCACAAAAAAAAAGCAAAAAACCCAAGGGCATTACAGGTGCATCATGATGACGCACGCCAGTCATCGGTGTCCTCGACAATGTCATTCCAAAGTTTTGGGGGGGAAGAAGCTGCTGGAATGGGTTCAGCGAGGCG